CGGCCCCGGCACCCGCACCGGCCCCGGAGCCCAGCGCCGAGGAGCTGCCTGCCGCCGAGTGCCGCCTCTGCCCCGTCTGTGGGGAGACCTTCCCCAGCAAGAGCAGCCAGGAGCGGCACCTGCGCCTCCTGCACGCCGCCCAGGTCTTCCCCTGCAAGTACTGCCCGGCCACCTTCTACAGCTCTCCCGGCCTCACCCGGCACATCAACAAGTGCCACCCCTCGGAGAACCGGCAGGTCATCCTGCTCCAGGTGCCGCTGCGCCCCGCCTGCTGAGCCGCCCGTGCCTTCCCCGCCGCCCCGCGCCGCTCCCCCGGGGCAGCCACACGATTAGCTTTAATACGGCTTGTGACCTGCTGGAATCTGGCTTTACACTTACCTTCCCGGGGTCTATCTCTTCTTTTTCTTTTTTGTTTGTTTTGTTTTTTTTTGGTTTTTTTGTTTTGTTTTTTTTAAATTTTGTTTCTTCGCTCTGGTTTTTATCGATGTGAACAGATCAAACTGCTCGAGAGAAACGAGCGTTTCCTTTAGTGTAGCCACAAATGCCTTGACTCTGCTGTTGATGGTCTCCAGAAAATGCTGTAGAAACTGCCTTAACTGTGACATGCCAACTTTCTGTTCGTTTTGCCCTAAGGTAGCTCATGCGTTGTCTATCTGTATATGTTGGTTTGAGTAATTATGTTATTTATTCGTTATTTATTTATATTAATTATGAAGATTGATATTATTTGATTGCAGATATTCTAAAGTGCTTTTTTTGTCTCCCCACCTGCCATTTCACTGTGCGTTTTAGAAGATCTTTTTTTCTTAAGAGATCTGCTAAAAAGGTTTTAACTTTTATACCTAGAATAACACATGATCTTAACCATTTTATCCTGTGCAACCAACAGCTCTTACTTTTAGATGCAATCTCTTTTTCTACACACATTATTTTCTTAACTGTTAGCTATTTATAGAGTGCTTCGATAGAACTGTTTCAACTGTATAATTATTTACTATTCAAATAAAATATTTTCAAATTCAAGCGTGCCCCCACCTCTTGTGCTTCTCCCTGCCGGGCTGGCCCTGGGGGCTCGGGGGGGCTGGCACCCGGCTCCGCACTGCAGCTGGCAGGGTGCCTCCGTAGGCACCAGCCTGCCCTGCGCCGCTTGACAAGATTAATTAAAAAGGAATTAAAGGGAGGAGAAGAGCAGGGTGCGGCGTGGCTGCTCGGGGGGAAGGCTGCCCTCGGAGCAAAAAGGGGTCCCCTGGCCGTGGGCTGGAGCCCCAGCCCGGCACCGGGCACAGCCTGCCCTGTGCTCTGCTGCTGGCGAGAGCTGCCAGGGACCTTCCCTGGAAGGTGTTGCAGGGAAAGCTCGAGGAGAGGCAGCACCTGTAAGCGGAGAGCTGGTAGAAATCCCTGCCTGGGAGGGCTGTGCTGTTTGCTGGGTGGCTGCTGCCTGTGCTTGGCGCTGAGGTGTGGGGCTCAGCAGAGCAGCAGCATCCTGCTTTGGCTGTCGGCTGTGAGCCTGGTGCAAGGAAGGGCAGGCATTTCTCTGTTTCCTGGTAGGGCTGGAGCCAGCTCCTGCCTGGTCCTTGTGCCCTGCAGTGGGGTTTCTGCAGCATCCTTAACATCAATAACTGTATATAGATATGTGTGTATCTGTGCAGATAGATCCATCTCCAGGGCTCGTGTTTGTATGTGGGGATCTGATGGGTTTGGTCAGAATTGTAGTAGAATCTGTGTAAGCGGGGATGGCGTGTGCTGGGTTTGTGAAACCCCTCTCACAGATAGGTGTTGTGTGCACCTGTATAATCCTCCCCCTTTGCCAGCAGGAGCAGGGACGGAGCCAACTTCATGGCATGCAAATCTGCTTGGCAGTCCCAAGAGCAAATCCCTGCTCCCAAACTCTGGTGTATGATGGGCCAGGGGGCTGTGAGGGCTTGGTGTGAGCATAGAGGCTGCTCTGTCTTGGGGTAGCCTTTGAGGCTTTGGCTCCCTGGAAGAGGTTTCCAGCCTGTTTCTGCCATCTCCTCTCACCTAAAGGCTCCTAACCCTGATTCACTGTGGGAAGGGCAGGTGGTAGAGCTTCCTGGAGAAAAGTTTCCCAGGAACTGGCTGAGTATTCTATGATAAAGCAAAGTTTGTAGAGAGAGAACGTCTTCCTAGAGAAAGCTTTGTTTTTTTCTTCCATCAGGATGAACCAGTGTATGGGTATGCTCCTGGTGTCTTGACTCCTAGGAAACAAAACTGGCAGTGCCAGGGCTGACTTCAGGCATAGGCAGAGCTGTGGTTGTAGCTGTAAATCGATACACTGGAAAGGAGCACAGTCGAAGAGACACAGGCAGCAAAGCCTGCCCGGCAAGAGGTTCAGTTTTGCCTTTCCTGGCTTCCCTGGCCTTGGAAAGCCCCAGATCCTGGGTTGTCGCAGACGGTGTCGCAGCTGTCTTTGGAACAGGCTTTCCACTCCCTGAGGGGACTTTGCCAGCTCATGTGGCCGTCTTCTGGGGCCACTGGACACCATTTCCAGAGCTGTGCCCGCCACATCCTCTGGAGAAGCCTAATGGCTCCATCCACTGTCACAGCAGTGTCCCTGCTGAAATCCGTGCTCAAAGCCTGTGGCGCCAACAGGACACAAAATGACAGCTCCATACCGCTGTCCATTTCCTAACAGTCAAATAAATCCACGTCTGTCCTGCTAAGAACCAGTTGGAATTTGTGGGGGCCCGAATTCCCCAGGATTTTTGAACTGTCTTGGTAACCAGGCACCGACTATTGCGTCTCCTGCTGAGCAGAAAGGGTGATCGGTGGAGACTCCTGTGTTGGGGAGGAGTAAGGGTGGCGTACACTGGAAATGGCTCTGTTCACAAACATCCTGTAAAAGGGGCGTCATTTGCTTTTGGCATCCCTGGGCTGCAGCAGCTTGGGCAGGGCTGCTGTGCCTTTGTGTCTGCAGCCTTTCTCCCTCGTCTGCACCGCAGGGTGCTTGTGAGGGGCAGCCCTGACTGCCCGAGGGGTTTCTGGAGAGGTTCCTTGTGAGGGTGAGACTGCCCGAGGGGTTCTGCAGGGAGCCATCAGCATCACCCTTTTGCATCTCTTGCCACCTGGCAGTAAAGGGCATTGCAGATGCCGGGACAGATCACAAAGCCTCCCGCTCACACCAGCATCCTTCGGACAGCATTTTGGGGGTGGATCTGTCCCTGCCGCTTAGCGGTTCCTGCCTTGCGCCATCCCACTGCCCGGGCCCCCGGCACCGGGCCGCTGCTGGGCTCTGTCTCCTGCTCTGCGTCGGTGGAGCCCAAGCCCAGGTGTAGCTCGGTGGCTGTCCCGGGGTGCTCTCAGTAGCAGCCCCTGGGAATGCAGGTGTTGCCTGGTGGGTGCCAGGTCCTGGCAGCACGGCCGGCCAGCGCTGCGCAAACAAAGCCTCCTGCTGTCAGCCAACAAATCAATCGCTGATGGCTCTCGGTGCATCCAGCGGGAGCAGGTTTGGGCACCATGGAGAACACTGATCCTGCCCCGAGCGTGATGCAGTGGAGGTGGCTGGCACACAGGCTGCTCACGCTCTGTGCGTTCGGGCAGAGGGGTTTGCCCGCTCTGCCGGAGCCTTCCTCCTCTCTGAGCACACCGAGAGCCAAACGTGTGGTCTGGGACCGAGTGTTGTGAGCACAGGGAAAGGAACTGGGAGATGAGATAGAGGAACCTGCCGGCTCCTGAGAAATGCAGCACGGACACCATCCCTGCCCCAGAGCTCAGAGCTGCTGGGGAGCTGGGGCCAGCTGCTCCTGTCCACAGGGGAAGGCTGGCTGGAGGCTGCTTGTTCCCGGGGGAGGTTTTTACAAGTTCTGGTACCAACACCATGGTCCCTCGCAGCCATCAGTGCGGTAAGGCATTTGTCAGCTGCCTCGCTGGATGGGCTCGCTGGGAAACACAGCTGCGCTCAGCTCAAGGTTTTGGGGGGCCCTGCCCAGCACCTCCCGTCTGTTTTTAGGGTGGGCAGCTGGGAGGTATCCATGGGATTGGGGCAAGCCTAGAACCGGGACAAAGATGGGCGTTTCTGCCTGGGATTTCAGACTCTTCCTCACACAACACAAGGCTGTTTAAAAAGGGCATTGCTGTTGATGAGCTGGGGAATGGCTGGTGGAGTCACGGATGTTTCTCTGGGGCGTGCAGTGCCTGCAGGGTGCCACAGGGCGCTGTGGTTTGCTGCTGCTAACACACCCCCATCGCTCCCGGGTCAGTGTGTTTTGGGCTGGGTGGGACAGCAGTTCCCTGAAGCACCCGGGCAGCTCCCCTCGGTGAAGGATCCAGGTGTGCAGGTACATCCTGCATGTGGCATTAAACACCTCAGATCCTTCCATGCGGGGAAGAAGCCTCATTAGGGCTATAAATGTTTTTATATTATATAATATATAATGGTTTATATACAGTCCACATAACAGAGGTCTGCCTCTGGCAACATTTGATGCATCGATCATTGAGATGGGACACGCCAAGCGTGGGCTGTCCTGTGGTACCGACTCCACACCAGGCACCACCAGGCTCGGTTCTTACCTGTGCCATCGGGTGCAGGTGCTGGGCTGCCCGCAGAGCTGCTCTGACCGTGCTGTTTTCTCCTCAGCAGGCAGCCAGGGACCGAGGCCGGGCAGAGCCGGGCACAGCGGCAGCAGCGGGAGCCCCGCGGCGGCACAGGGACCCTCCCAGGAGCGCATCCTCCCGACACGGTAATTGGGATTTGCAGCGGCCAGGGCTGCTTAAACCACCTGTTCCTCTCAGAAATAAACCACTCTTTTAAAGGTCTAATAAAGTCCCCTGGCAGCTCTGGAGGCGAGGGCATGCAGAGCCCAGCTCCTGTGCTGTGCCGCTCTGCTGAGGCTTTCCAGCCTCCCTTAGGGAATGGGGGAGTGACGGGGAGGATTTAACCAGAGCAGAGGCTCTGCTGCTGTGGGCACTGGGCTGGGGGAGAGAGGGAGCATGGCTCAGCTGCAGGTTAAAACAGTTCTGCTTTCTCAGGGTATGGGGCCGTGGTGTGTTTATTGGCTCATTTTACAGTGTTTTAGAGGGAAATTGACTGTAGTGCAATACCAGTTCAATGACAAATGTGAGGAAAATGATGTACAGCTGGGGGCATCTGAGCTGGGAGGTTTTGGGTTAGTTACACACACAGAAGAAAATCAGAATTTATTACATACAATAAATTATATTTTGCATTTGCCCGTGGGTCCCTGGAAGTGTCCAAGGCCAGGTTGGATGGGGTTCAGAGCAACTTGGGATAGTGGAAGGTGCCCACAGCAAGGGGCTGCAATGAGGTGAACTTTATTGCTCCCTTCCAACCCAAACTATTCTAGGATTCTGTGATAAAAGAAATGTTAAAAATATATTCCTTTTACAGCAGTATATTCTATATAGATGATCTACATAAGTAGAATTCAGAATATGTAGATCATGCATATTACATGTATTATATCAAAGCATATTATATTATACAATAGATACTAATATATGTCTGTTAAATATTGCCACTTAGACAATGCATATTAAATATATTATCTACAGCACATAATATCATATATGCATTATACATAATTACTGATACATCACCAATGCTGATGTAATGAAACACTCTTGTCTGACAGGAGGTTTTGTCAGCTCTGCAGCCAGGATTTGTGTGCTGTGGAGGACAGTGTAGGTGCTCATATGTGTGCATATCCACTGTACATACATGGTCTGAAATACAGTTTTTTATCTATATACTGCACTGAATATTTCATGATGCACATCATATATGTGCCAAATATTGCATGTTCATTATATCATGTTACACAGAACTCATACATCACTGATACGATTTATATCCTTTTCTTATATCATTTTTAAATAAAAGTGTACTGCACATATATGCACACAGTATTACAGTTAGCAAAGTAATGTTATAGTTTATGTCATATGTACATATAGCTGGAGTATATACCAAGCTTATATAGATATACCTTATATAGATATACCTGTGCTTATATAGATATACCTGTATAATATAAAGGTAATATGTTGTATTAACCTATAACCAATTTTTGAATAGAGTTATTACCTTTATAGTCAGTATTTAATATTCAAAACCAGGTATTAATAAGATAAAATATATATAGTGTGTATATTATATAATACACAGTAAAATATATAATGCATATCACATTATATACCTTGTATTATACCTAAATTACAGATCAGAGATTGCACATATTTTCCTTAATGTAATAATACATACTCATTGTATCTGTATTTAATGCCTATAACATATGCTCTAGCTAACAGAAACATACAGACATGCATAACATCAAATATTAGATATGCAGTTTGAAATACTGTAGCATGCAATATATAGAACATAAGATGACATCCCTCATATATTTTCTATAGTTAAAGAGATCATATTAATAGGCGTAGGAGTAAGATAATACCTATACAGATGTTTGTAAAATATGTTAGGCAGCCTTTTAAAGCTGAATGAAGGTACAGTTAGAGGTGATATTTGGAGGAAATTCTTGGCTGTGAGGGTGGCAAGGCACAGGTTTCCAGAGAAGCTGTGGCTGTCCCAGTCCTGGAAGTGTTCCGAGGCAGGTTGGGCAGGGTTTGGAGCAACCTGGGATGGTGGAAGGTGTCCCTGCCCATGGCAAAGGTGGGATGAGATGAGCTTTAGGTTCCTTCCCAACACAATCCATTCTGGCACTCCATGGTAAGTATAAACTAGTTTATATTTTATTTAATTTAGTAAATTATTTTTCATGCCATTTCCGTGCCTGCAGCCACAGGTGCAGGGCTGGGGGTGCCTTGGGCTCACGTTCCTGCCCCGTGCTGGGCTGGCTCTGCCAGCGCTGCTGCAGCCCCGTGGCTGGGGCTGTGTCCTGCCTGGTGGGGCCATGTGCCCCTGGCCCTGTGGTGTCCCTGGTCCCATGGGTGTCCCTGGTCCTGTGGGTGCCCCTGGTCCTGTGGGTGCCCCTGGCCCTGTGGTGTCCCTGGTCCCATGGGTGCCCCTGGTCCTGTGGGTGTCCCTGGTCCCATGGGTGCCCCCAGCCCCGTTGTATCCCTGGTCCCGTGGTGTCCCTGGTCCCGTGGTGCCCCCGGTCCTGTGGTGTCCCTGGTCCCATGGTGCCCCTGGCCCCATGTTGCCCCCAGCCTCGTGGTGCCCCTGGTCCCGTGGTGCCGGTGCCAGGCCCTCAGCTGTGTGGGAGCTGCATGCCCTCTGTCTGGAGCCTGCCCCACGCACGCCTGCTGCTGCCAGGGCAGCGGGGACAGCAGCTGTGCCAGCCCTGGTGCGGGCACCGCCGGCTCAGAGCGCTGCCAGCACGGCCCCCGAGCCGTGAGCCCAGCCTGCTCTCCACCCGCTCCAGGGTGCCGGGCCTGGGGCAGGGATCCTCCCGGGGAAAGGCAGGTGGAAGCCAGGTTCCCAGCAGCTCCTTAGTGTGTGCACATTCACTTCTGCAAAGTAAGCATCTGATCTGGAGCTAGCTGGATTAACTCTCCATTTCTAGTTAGAGCACCTGAAAGCAATTTAGGAGAGGACTTTGCTGTGGCTCTTCAGCAGAGAAAGGGAGATTTCCTTTGTCTTTTCAGACGTCATTATGGCTGAGTGCAGCCCTCTGCATTTGCTCTAGGAATGCTCCTCTCTAGAGGAGAACATCACCATTACAAACCTCTTAGTTTTAATACTGCTGCTTGGACCACGAGGCATTGCAGGAATTGCCCAGTGGTTTCTGGGGGCCCCAAAGGTCTGTCACTGTGCTTGGCGCCATGGGCAGGGCCGGGCTGGCAGGAGGTGCCACCCTGCAGGGTGGCCAAGGGCACTGCTGCCACGTGGGGCCGCAGTGTGTGACCAAAGGTGCCCCCGTGTCAGTCACGGCACGGTGTGGAGTCCTCGAGAGCTCTCCGGGCTGGGAACGCTGCTGCCTGCTCCGCAGCCCAGAGGGACTGAAGCCACATCCAGCCACAGCAGGGACTGTCCCTGTCCCCTGGGAGCCAGCCCTGCACACCCACGGCACCCGCAGCAGCCGGGCCCGGCAGCACCAGCATCGGAGTTCCAGCCCCGGCACCTCCCTCCCACCGCCACACACACCACAGGTACCACCTTCTATTGCTCTGGGGAGAAACTTTATTGTGAGCAAAGATTTATTAATTTTGTGAGGGGTAACAGAGTGGCTTTGTCATCCAGTTCAGGGTGCAAAACCACAGCAGAGTTTATACAAATTAATAGTTTTTTGACATCAGGAAAACATGATTTTCATTGATGTCTTAATTCTTCCCTGAATTAGAGGTACATATTGCTCTAAGGAGAAAAGGCTCCTTACTCAGAAGGATGCCTTTGAAATTCTTTCAGACCAGCTATTGGATAACTAAGTGCCAGACACCCTTGCCTGTCCAGCCCTGAATGTAAAATAAATTAAAATACATATTTTATTTTCCAGGTTCCTTCACTGACAGAAAATCAATAGAAAGCAAAACCCAGCTGTGAAGCAGAAAATCAAACCGGTTTGCCCAAGCTCTCAGTGATAGAGGTTCCTTCCTGCAGCTGCACCAGGTGAGTTCCTGCCGGGCACCCAGGCTGAGCTGCTGCCCCTCGGGCACAGAGCGCAAGGCAGAGCCCAAGGGCCACCTCAGCATCACTGGCCACGGCTGGAATGTGCCCCACCGGCACTGGGTGGCCCCTGGCCAGGTGCTGGCACTCAGATGGACAGACAGCTGCAATACCAAGTGCAAGTGCAGAAACAAACACGGGGGCCCAACGGGGCATTTCCCAAAAAACGCAATCCCTTCGCTCAAAACAACTCCCATTCTGTTGGGAGGTGTGCGTATGTGTGCCCAGGAGCAACCAAGCAGCAGCAGGACAGGGCTCTGGGGCTGCTGATCTCAGGTTTCTGTTGCTTTAAAATACTGGATATTTAACCCCATCAACCTATGACACCTGTAGACCAAAACACCTCAGCTACTGCCAACACGAGCTCTGCTCACTACAGCAGGTGCCAGGGGGACCCTAAGTCCTCAGAAACCTTTAGCTGTGTTGTCCTCAGGCTAGAGACAGGTCCCTGCTGGGACAAGGTGAGGGGGTTACTCAGTTCTTCACGCTGTGCCGGGAAGGGGTCATGGCAGGAGTGTGGCATTTGCTCTTCTAAAAGCGATTTGCTTATTTTTGTGTCTCTAGGGAGCAGTTCCAGTGCGCAGCCATCACACACACCGCAGAAAAGTCACGGTATTCCTGCAGTGGGACATCCCTCATCCACCTGTGCTCCAGCAGGGAACGTTTGCTACTGGGCTAGTCACGGGAAAACCTCTCTTTAGCAGAAATGCACAGGTAAATGCTGCCTGGAATGACTAAAGCAGTGCTCTAAGGGTACATTAAATAACTGGTCTCAGAGCTGGTTCATGACTCTGGCTGCGGCACCTGCGCCCAGGGGCTTGGCTCACGCGGTGCCAGTGCAGTGGTGACGGTGACACAGGTGACATCCAGTCCCCAGCTATGTCTGTCCAGACTGGAGAAAGGCCATTTCACAGAGCAAACTCCTCACCCAGGCTCTTCAAGACGTGTTCACCCAGACCTGCCTGTTCTGATCCGTGCTCAGGTGCCGTGGGCTGCCCCGGCCACAGCTCTGAGCTGCAGGGCCTCAGGCGGACGCCTTGCTGAGGGCGCTGGTGCAGCTTCCCAGAGATCCTGCTCCTGGAGGCACGTGGAGTGGGGGCGAGGGCGGCTCTGCCAGCTGGATTCCAGTGGTGTCAGTGAGGTCAGTGCTTGCACTTGTGGTGAGGCAGCCTGGAAGACAGAGTGGGCAGGGGAAACCCAAGTCAGCACAAAACAGCCTGTGTCCTCAAAATAACCATGTGGCACAGCGCAGCCCCTCCCCTTTGCCTCTTCCCAGCCTCTCCTGGGCATCACTCAGGTGAACTTGACCCCCAGAGGAGTCTGCTCCAGGCTGCTGAAGAACTGCCATACTGTGCTTCCCAGAGAAACCAGGGATTTCTCTTTGCCAGCTCCCAGAAGTGAGGAGCAGCGAGGCTGTCAGTGTCCAGGTGAGCACTGAGCCCCCCCCCCCATCACCCCCTTTTGGTCTGCACAGCCCTTGCAGCTCCCAATGGCTCTCAGGGCCCCAACAGTCCCATGGGAGGGAGGCAGGAAGCTCCCATTGTGCTCACTTGAAGCTCCAACATAAAATAGTTCTGTGTGGGTGATACTGGGTTTTGCTGTGTACCATTAAACTGCTCTTGTATATTTGGTCTGTTACAGAGAGCTGGAAATGAGCACCCCAGTGTGAGGGCTGGCACAGAACTCTCCCTGGAAGGTGCCTTAACCTCTGTAAGAATCCTAAAGAATCGTGATTTCTTACACTATATTACAGGTACCCTTGTTACTGTTGACTTATGGTCACCACTGGGGAAGGGTCTTGGGGGTTACACTTTGTTGTTGAGTGGAGTCACCTGTTGGTCATTCCCCAGAGGCCAGGTCTGCCCAGGCTGGCTGAGGGGGAACAGGTGAGCACATGGTCCTTAAATGAGACACTAATGACCAAAACCAGGTGCAGCTGCTGTGAGGGACTCGCCCTCCCTGCTCCTCCCGAAGCATTTCCCAGGGGAACAGTGTTTCATCAGCTCCCTCAGGAAAAGTATTTTTAAACTGTGTTGCAATTCTCTCCTCAAGTGTAAACACAAGTTTTTATTACGGGTGGAAGGGAGGAACAGCCTCACAGCCAGGCAGGGAGAGCAAATTCTGAAGCCTCTCAGAAGGCTGGCACACCAGTGGCACCTGCCCTGAACCTCCTCAGGGATGGTTGTGTAAGGAAGACCTACTTCCAGTACAACAACTGACTCCATTCCTAGCTGTGCCTGGCCAGGCCACAGCTCTTTAATCCTCCCTTCACCTTCCTAGCCCAGGTAAATCTCAAATGTGTGCAAAATGCCCCAAAGGGCGGCCAGGGCCTTGGCTGAAGCTGCCCATGGCTGAGCTGTCCCTTGAGGCACAGGTGAGCAGGGGACTGTCCTTGCAGGACGGGTGGGGACATGGCTTTGGGTCAGGGTGGCAGCAGGATGAGCCCTCAGCTGCTGTCTGAGGACAAAGACCCACCCTGGCTCTGGACTGCACTTCCAAGGTGAGGTGTAAGCTGTGCTTCTGCTTGAGCAGCTCTGAGTGTCTGAGTGACTGAAAGCAGGAGCAGAACAGCAGCCCCGAGTGTGAACCCCCCCAGCCTGCTGCAGCCCTGCATTCGCATCCCAGCCACAGCCCTGACCAGATTGGGCCTTTGAGAAAACTGATGAGGGGAAATTGCACATTTTGAAAAGGTGGAAAGTGTGACTTAGCCTGTAAAGGCATTTTCTGTGAAAAATGCAGAACTGTCAATTTTGGATTAAAACAAAACCTGTAGTGCTATTAACTGCGTTGAAAGGCACGGGGGAGGGAGGGGCTGTGAGGGAGGTGTTGTGCTTGGCATGCCTGCAGTGAGGCAGAATGGCAGATGGTCAAAATAATGCAGGTTTCTCCAAATGGACAAGCTGAGGCAACTTAGAGAGAGAGGGGAAAAGGAAAATAAATAAAAAATAAAAATAAAAAAAATAAAATAAAAAAAAATAAATAAATACGTGGATCACGGGGATCGGTTACCACGCGCGGATCGTGGGAATCATTGCTGGGCACACGTGAGAGGTATTGTTTTATGTGGACCATGGAAACCATTGCCATGTCTGGGGTCATTAGTGTACACAAATCGTGGGACTCTGTGCCACGGCCACAGGGCATTGGCCCACGTGGCTCACAGGAGACTTTAGTGCACACAGGAGATGTTCCTGCACACAGGAGATGTTCCTGCACACAGATGTTACTGCACACAGGAGATGTTCCTGCACACAGATGTTACTGCACACAGGAGATGTTCCTGCACACAGGAGATGTTCCTGCACACAGATGTTACTGCACACAGATGTTACTGCACACAGGAGATGTTCCTGCACACAGATGTTACTGCACACGGGAGATGTTACTGCACACAGGAGATGTTACTGCACACAGATGTTACTGCACACAGATGTTACTGCACACAGATGTTACTGCACACGGGAGATGTTACTGCACACAGATGTTACTGCACACGGGAGATGTTACTGCACACAGATGTTACTGCACACAGGAGATGTTACTGCACACAGGAGATGTTCCTGCACACAGGAGATGTTCCTGCACATAGGAGCCTTTAGAGCCGTGTTTGCAGGAGGCAGAACTGTGCCCTAGAGGCAGAAGCACATGTGGAGCGCAGGAGTGTGAGAGGCAGAAGGGAGGCAGAGCTGCACACCGAGCATGGGGGTGCGAGGCACACATGGAGCACAGGAGGCAGAGCTGAACGTGGAGCAGAGGCAGCGAGGGAGGAGGATGAAGGGAAGGAGAAGCTGTTAGTGATGAACCACAGCAGCAGAGCGGCCAGTGGGAAGCGTCACTCTTACCTGCGGCCGTTACTGTAGCGAGAGCATGAACACTCTAATCTAAAGGGAGAGAACAAAACCGTGTCAGTACAGGACCAGAGGAGGGGAACAAAACCGAGTCAGTGCAGGAGCTGTACCCTGTGACTGCTGCGCTTGCACCAGCCCAACACAGCACACCCTGCTAAAGGCAGGAGGGGAGCTTCCCTCAGGGACCTGCAGACACACGGACGGACCCGTGCACTTCCTCCTGGGGTCTGAGGACTGAAACAAACGAGGGAGGGAATGCTGGCAAAAGCTGGAATGATTATTCATGGCGCTTCATCTTCTGCCAAACCTGCTGCTGTGCAATGGTGGCATGCAGCTGCTTCACGTCCAGCACTGCTGCTGGCCACACCATCTCAAACCAGCTAAAATTTGAGGCTTCACGGAGACCTAAACCTCTGTGACACTATAGCCAGGTAAAACCCCAGGAAGTGAGCAGTGTAGTGATCCTGGTGCCACATAAATTTCCCAGAGGAGGAAATCCTTGAGTGCATAAAACCTGTCCATGAGCAGACACACACCTGCACTCAGATGAGACACACACCCACACACACACACCCTGGAGGGCCTCTCACAGGTGAGGCTGCTTAGAGAGCATTAAGCTTTTAAAACACATTTCTTGCAGGAGGGACTAAAAACAATTGAAATACAGATGAAAGCATTTTAAATGCAGGGTTACCTTGCAGGAAGCCGGAGAGAGTTGGTATTATTGCATCTTAAATCCAGTCCACAGAACAAACCTGGTTTCTTCCCCAGGGCACGTGCTCTGGGAATGGCCTTTTAGCCACTGCTTGTGAAGCAGCTGAACACCCCTGACAGCAAGGGTGGGTAAGACCATGACCTGTGAGGATCCTGAAGACAGGTACTTGAGAAGAACCACTAAGTTTTCACATGGGCTGTGACCTATTCCAGCCCCGCCTTAACCTTTCATCCACGTCTGTGGAAATCTTTGTTTTCCTTCCTAGAAAATGCAAAGGTAATACAATTCCAGATAGAATCGTTGTAGTAAATCTGCACAGCATTCCTGTTTCCAGCTCCCAAATACATACTCCAAGTCCACTGTAAGCAGCATCCTGAGCCTGCGTGGAAGAACCCGTGGATAACTAAAGCTGGGTTAATCACGTCCTGCAGTGCCTGGAAAGCTGTGACACAGTAGAGAGACTCTGACAGTACCTGTTAACCAGGGCAGAACTGACTCTAAAACAGCACCCACAGCTCAGATGGGAGTGCCTGGCACCACTGAGGGCCTTCACAGTTTGAGGGCCTCAGAAATAAGCCTGAAATGTACACACTGAAGTTTAATTACTCACAAATTGGAGCAGCTGCTGCTGAGTTCTGCAAGGCTCAGCCTCAGCCAGGGACCCCAGCAGGTGCTGGGGGTTATGTGGGTGTCACAGGTAGGGCAGCCCAAGCCCTCTGCATACAGCTGCAGGACGGCTCTGGCCCGCTTCTGCTCTGCCTCTGCTCCGGGTCTCTGCTGAGCTGTCACCCGGCAGAGGAGACAGCCCATCAAGCTCGTATCTTCGCCCATGCCAACACCAACTGCTGGGATTGCTCTCCCTCACCTCCTCCTCTCCCGGAGAGCAGAGCTGGGAGTGCCCTCTGAACCAACCAATTCCATGGGAAAGGCAGGGGCCAGGTTGAGAGCCCTGATGTGGCTCTCACCCCCTCCGCTGCTGCAGACCCCAAGGGGAACACCAGGCTTGAGGGGGAAGCAGTCCCAGCACCTGCCCAGCCTCAGTGGACAAGTTTGGACTGTCCACCCCCAGTGGTGGCCCAAGGGACAGCCCCAGCACACTGTGCAGGTGGCCACTTCCTCAGGGATCTGGACCCTCTGGAGCCAGGCCTGGGCTCCTGGGCAGACACCTTCATCAGCCTGTTCGGCCACAGGAGCTGGAGCGGGGACAGAGCTGCTGCCCCCAACACGTCGAGGTACCTCTGACCCTGCCCTGCCAATGCCAGATCATTCCTGACCCTCACAGGGACACGTGGGCAGCAGGGAAACTATGGGCAGAGCACTGAAAACCAAGAGCACACGGGCAAGGAGCAGCTCCTGCATCCGCTGGTGCCACTGCAGGAGCTCCCCGAGGGCAGCCCAGCTGCGGCAGGCTCCAGTCTGCCCAGGATGAGGAACAACCTGGGTTGGACAGGGGAAGCCAGACTGCTCCTTGTGCCTCATCCTGAATAGTCCTCACAGGGAAGGAGGGAGAAGAGAAAGCCCTTGAGTCCTGCCTCCTGTGGTAACTGTCCTGGCGCCTCTGCTCCACTTCCCTCAGCTTTTCCTCTTTGTTCACTGCCTGGACAAGCTGCACCAAGGGCTGCACAGTGTCCACCTCACCTGCTGAGCACCGTGCCCAGCGGACCTCATACATGCCACATGCTAACAATTCCCTGTCCCACGGGTAACCAGGACAGTCAGGAATTTCCTAGATCCCACATATTAGAAACAAATTGTCCGGTTTCAGGCAACACTGACACACCGATCAAACCCAACCCTTGGCACACACCGCATGTGCTCCCAGACAGTGGCACAGTTACTCAGTTTCAGATGTGTATGATTTCAATATTCCCAGGAAAACAGGAAAAGATACTATATATATATAATATATATTTATAGAGAAGCCAGACACAGATCTGACAGAACACCCTACAGAGCTTCAAGGAAAAAGACAAAAGGACAAAACCCCCAAAGTAGTATAAAAACCCCAGAAAAATCAAACCAAAACAAAAGGTATCCTTGGCTCAATTACTGTTACAAAAAGCATCAGTCCTGTTTAAAACAAGAATTAGTCTGGGTTTGGTTTTGTTTCTGTCAAAAAAATATTTTAAATCTGCGTGTCCCATTCAAATAATCCTTTTGCTTTAAAGTGGAAAAGATAAAGCCCAGCACTGAACAAAAAGTGGTTTAAAATAAACCATATCTTGTTCACTGTATATTCAAATATTTTCTACAAGAACTTTGGGCATGTAGAAGTCCAGACACAAAAGAAAAGCATGTGTCACCTTTGCAACAAAAAGGTTGCAAAATCTCGGTTTTATGTAAATCAGCAGGCACAGCTCCCGAGGCTTTAAAACCAGGGAATGCTGAAAACCTCAATAGTTCCTCCACTCAAGTGTTGCTCCTGGGCAATGCCATAATATTCATTAAAGAATCCATTTATCAACAGATACCACATGTCCAAGTTTCCCAGCAGTTTTTCTGATGCTCTGCTGAAAAGGATGCTTTAAAAACGTTAAGCTGGAACACAGGAACCTGAGATGCTTTCTCTGCCCACTCCACACTATCCATTAGCAACTAAAAAAGCCAAGATTTACACTATATCTTCCCTGATAACGCTGAGCATTGTGCTTTATTTTCCAAGTCATTAGCATGCACAAGAATGACCTCATGGTGAACAGATGCACTTGGATATGGCAGTGATTAGATCAGTCCTCTCAGCAGTCAAGTGTGCCCGTTCCCATTAACCCCTGAGGCGCCGGCGGCGGTGCTGCACCAGGGGGCTCCCTGGAAAGCAGGAACCTGCCAGGGCAAACACAAACCCCTCAGACAGAATCCTTGTGAAAGCTATGACTGGAGAGTTGTTCTGCAATATCCAGCAGCCCCTTCCACCTCCCAAGGGTAACACCGTGCTTCTGGCTGCTGATCTGCCACAGAAACAGCCCAAAGCCCCAAGGAACCCTCGTGAGCCACAGAGGTGGTTGAAGTTGGGGCGCTGCTCTGCCCACTTCACCTTCACCAGTTACTTTAAAGAACACACAAGTATTTTGTTGAATAACTATTTCTGGTTTTGGCTGAAGGAGCAAGAACAGCAGCTTAAAGCCTATCCACTAAAAGGAGAAAAATCTGCAGAGGGAAAGAATGAGAATAATTCAATGGTGTTGGATTATGGAGGATTTCCTGGGCTGCCTCTCAAACCCTGCCTAATTAAAATACAGCATGTAATGCACCAGTTTAACAACAAAGGGCTGTATTCCCAGCTTTTGTTCCTAATCTGCACATCCCCTAAATGAGTTTGGGGATGGCCATTCTGCCTGTGAGGCTGCATTTTCAGTGCTGAAGATATCGGGGCTATCTGTGATCCATACAGGGAATTTAAGGCTCTGTTCCTCAAAACACCAAAGGAGATCAACTGGACAATTTTCCTACAGAAAATGTAGCACCTGCAAGACTGGTGACAGGGAGACTAAGCCAGGGCAGGAAAACCACATCCCACATGGGTCTGGGGATGCATCCCCGGGGGCAGCATCAGAAAACACAAAACATCCAGTTCTAATAATTATCTCCTAGCCAGCGACACCCCAGTAAGGTATCACCGAGAGCTGTGTTTGATTTCTCCCCACGCTGTGGGAGACATCACCCCTGAGAACATGCTGCACTGAGATGAGCAGCACCCTTACTCCCTGCCCCTCTCTGCTGCACACAGGCATTCGCAGCACTGACAGGATCACAGCTGAGGGGCATTATAACAACCAGATCAGATGAGAATTAAATTTACCTGAGCACTTTATGCTCAGCAGAGTCAGCAGTACCAGCTGGCTTGTACTGCCACCTGTGCCAGCTCCATACATCCCACAGAATCAAGGCTGGAAGAGATCAACAAGTTCAGTGGCCAATCCAGCACCAACCATCTTCACCACAAGATCAGATCCTCACGCATCCTGAACACTTCCAGGTACGGGGAACCAGTGCCTCCCTGGGCAGCCTGTGCCGGTGCCTGACCACTCCTTCAGGGAGAAGAGCTTCTTTTTATTTGCTGCTCCCTGACTCCTTTTTCCCGTTTCAGAAGAGAGAAATGCCCCCTGTATTGCTGAGTGGCAGACAGGTGGTTCCTGCAGGTGCAGGTGGATCCATGTCTGGAGCAGGCCTGGCTGGGGAACAGCAGAGCTGCCGGGGCTCCATGCAGCCTCGCTGCCCACTGCTGAGGGGCATCTGATGGAAAACACATCCCCATGGCCACAGCTGACACCGCCCCTGCTCATCACTCGCTAAATATGCAGGAGAATCAGCAGGTAACGTGAAGAGACTCTCTGAAGCGGGGATTCTGACACCAGCAGTCACGGCCAGCCTCCAGTTCATGAGCGGGAAATTAATTCTGAGGCTCAGAGGTCTGAAAATTGGGACCGGGCTGGGGGAGGCTTTGCACTTACAAGCAATCAAAATAATGAACTCATACCCAGGTACTCCTGATTTAACAGTGTTTTGAAATCCTAAGCTGCTGGGAAACACTTAAAATGTGTTTGGCATACACAGCTTATCCTTCAGAAAGCAGGGCTGCCGAGGGCTCTGCCACAACACCGTGTGCTAAGAACAAGTGAGGATGAAACACAGCTAGGCACAGAGCAAGGCGTTTAAAACAGATCTCTAGATCCACGTTCCTGTTTGCTGATATGTCGGCAGATAAACGATTCAAGTGCTAACAACCAGCCCTGGGCACGCGCCGCGCTGCTATTGAAATGGGCAATTTTTTTGTCTCAGACTTTTGGCAGAGTGTATAAAAGAATTTAATGCACAGCTGTTCTACTTTTTAATGTAGGAAACATTAATCAAAGCTTTAAGTTATAAGCTTTCCTAGCATTGTTTAGTATTCCAGTTCAGCAGAGATCAATAGATCCATCCCGTGTTCCCCGCCACCTCTCCAGGACGCAGAGGCGCGATTATGTAAATGCCCCCGGCTTCCTCCCCCCTCCTGCCAGCGCTTATCTCCAAAGCCTTCTGCCTGCTGCTCCTGGCCACCACTGCCCGGCCAGCACGGGCCTCTTATCTCCTCACAAAGCTCCGAGCTCGCCAGGATCGGAGCCAGCAACGCCAGACAATGCTGCACGCCTGGTTTTATTCCTAAGTGATTTATGTGAGCAAATTTAATTTCTTCCTTCAGTGTTTCAGTTTAGATGGAAGATATCTGCTAACAAGTAGGGCTAAAGAGAAATAGAGCAGATGTCCTGCAACGTTTATACAGGTTGGAAATAATCTATTCAGCAATCCAAAAGAGAAGCAGGGAATCATTAGAAAGTGCCAGTGGCACCCTAGGAGTGTCAACGATGGATTAAGGAATCTTTGTTACAGAGTCCGGCACACGGTGACCAGATACTTTCTGGATGCTGGAAAAAACCCACATTTTGAGGGCACTAGAAATGTGCATTTCAGAGCCAAAGTTCCCTTTCAGGAGAGGTTCACTTAAACTCAACCAGAGCCGCCAGACAGCGACTGTGACTGCACACTAAGCTAACCCTCCACTAGGCACACAGGGGATAAATTCCCAGAGCTGGGCACAGTGTCAGCTCTCAGCAGGCCGATGACTGATGAGCACTGACGTGCACACACACACACACACACACCCCACACACCCATCACAAACCCCGCAGAGGCTGCGGGCCAGGTGCTGCAGGGCAGCCTGCCGCGCGCTCGCCTGCAGCGAAGGGACGCGCCGCATCCCGCGCGCCGCTGCGAGTCCCTGACAGCACCCTGTTCCTGCGGCTCTTGTGCATTAATCCCTGACCCCGGTAGCTCAGCAGCATAATCCCCATTTAGCATTAGCAGCAGCTTCCCCTGCGAGGAACTATTTCTGATAAGTGAGCCCCGATTCGGGCCTCGCTTTTGAACACAATATTCCCGGCTCAGCAAGAACCCAGAGTCCTGAATGAGCCCGAGCCCATCGCTGCGAGAAAGTTCATTAACCTCGCCGGAGTTGGGGGTTAACAGGATAGCTGAAGAAAGGAGCAGTGTGAATAGCTCTGATGCAAAACAAATTAAAATGAATGTCATCATTCCTTTTGATATTCATTAGTTGATTCAGGAGAAGAATAGTCTTCTTAAATTTGCAAGCATTTATCTACAAAAAACAGGTGTACATCTGCTGCTCAAGTGCTTCTTGGTGCTACAGAGAAGAATAATGTGCAGAGACTCACCAGTTCCGCCGAGGGAGTAGCTGGGAGAGGGAGAGAAGACCTGAGCGGCAAAATCCTCAAACGTCATCACTTCTTTGTGGTTCTGGATGATGGCTTCGAGGTACAGAGCTCTCTCCTCGTAGCTGTGAGGCCCCGTTAAGGAAAGGTGTGTGCAGAACTCAAGGCTGTCTCGGCATCCCTGAGCGGCAGCCCCACATCCACTGACCGGGGTGGAATGGGCAGGGAACCGGCCCAGAACTGCCCAAGGGCTCTGAATGGGGGCAACCGAGAGGGGATAGATACGTTCAGGGCTGGAAATTCAGGGTAACACCTTTTGAGCTTCCTGACTAAGCTGTGACCTGGGAGCTGCTGAGCACAGGAGCAAAAGCCCCAGATCAAAAGCCACCGTCACAGACAGGCTGTGGCACTATGGGAAGCTCCAGGCACACAATATTCCTCCAATCTAAAGAAAAGTAACTAGATTGGAGGAAAAAACCTGCAGGACAGAGGGATACACCCCCCCACCCCATTCATTTGATCGCTGGACTTCTTAGACAAAATTAAGCACAATAAACCAATTGCAAAAGCGTGACGGTTATATTTAGGGCAGGTGCTAGAAGGTGCAACCTTATGTATCCCAAATAAATGATGCACAGTGGACGAACCCAGCCCACAACTTGCATGCATTATGGCCTGAATAATGCAGGCAACAAAGCGAGCTAACATCGAGACTATTGCCTTTTAATTAAAACTCGGCAACCTGGAACACACAGCATTCAAATGTGTAATCAAAAACCAGTCACCAATAAAACTTACAAGCGTAACAAGCTGAAGCAACTTTCCAGCTGTCTTAATAGGACCCCTGCTTGCGGCAGCCTTTCACAGCGGAGAAAGCAAATCTTCCCCTTTTGTGTGCAGCTTCTGTCTGCTCAGAAGGTGAATCATACACTTCCAATAACAGGATAACGCCTGGGACAAACCTACAATGGGCTGGAGAGCCTCACGTATGACTTTATGAATTAGGGCTCGCAGGAGCCAGGATGACATCTCATTCTCCGTTTCCTCAGTGAAAACAAAAGTTTTCAGCGCCTCATTGTGTTTCTGTTATGGGGAAATGCACTCGAGCTCTGCAAGGCTGTTCGGTGGGAGCAAAGGCCAAGCTGAATTTAGAAATTAGGAGCAGGAGAATAACACCAGTGACAACAGAATGCAGGTGAGGGTATTTAGAATTGAAAAGCATTACTAATTAATATTGAAGTGCCATTTGTGACTTGCGGTACATTAACAAAACCACTCTGAAACACTACTTTAAAAAAAAAAAAATAAAATAAATCAGATAAAAGCGGTGCTTAAAGCCGGGAGACGATGGTCTGGTGTCGACCTCGAAGGGAATAAGCAAAGCACGTCTTCATTGCACGCGAGTTCCCGCGGGCACGGTGGCAACAAAGGGAAGAGAAAGAAAGGAAGAATTTTGCGTTTAACGCTCATAGAGAACGATTGATACATGATAAATCTTCTTATAAACTTCCCGTGGAAGGCTGCAGAAGGCAAATCAATAGGCAGCGTTTCAGCGTTCGCAGCTGCCGCCGGCGTTACTTGCTCCGTTTCCCTGGGCTGGCCGGGAGAACTGCTGCTGCCAGCGCCGGCGTGCGGGGCCGCTGCCTCGGCGGCCTGAACTCCCGGTGACTCCTGCTAATGAATAGGCTGCCAAACTTCCTCCGAGAGGAGGCACACGCCCGGGCCCGATTGTAAAGGGACTGACGGATGCCATTCAGCGCTCATTATGGAGATGGCGATTCCCGGGCGCTCGGCTGTT